AAATTTTGTTTTGGATAGCCATAACTGTTAAAATGGGTCATGCACGATGTAAATCTAGTATCACAGGTTAGTTAATGACTGGTCTTTCTCAAGTGCTGCCCTTGAATTTCTCTGGTACTGTGCTATTACTGTAAGATTTGTCAGCCTTACCAGTACTCAGCTCCCACTTCACGTGCTAATGAATGTGACTACCCAAGCGTTAAAGCTTGGATAAACACCATGATCCTGTGTAGGGTTCTAGGAGCACAGCTACCAGGAGGAGCATCCCTGTCCCTCCCTGTGCATCGCTGCACTGGGGCAGCACAAGCGTTTGTGCAGCTGTGCAATTAACCTTACTTTGGAGCTGCTCTGGCTGGAAGAATAGCCTCACGTAAAGCAATACTTACATTTCAGCCTCATATGTTCTCTGATGTGGCTCATGTCTGAAAGGAGGACAGGAATGAGCCATCAAGAGAAAGATGGGGGGACAAAGACTCTTCTATTCCTTTGGTAGTAGGTCCAGTTTAAATGCAGATCGACCAGAGCCAGGATCTCCATAGAACTTTGTTATTAACTGAGGGTTAGCCTGCTGGTGTCTGTACAAAAGGCAGCAGGACTTGACACTTCACTGACAGCTAAGCCACTTAACTCTTGACTTAAGTGCAAATAATACTGCAGCGTGAAACAGGGTGTTGCTGGTAACCGTTAGGAAAAACAGCATAGCATAATCCCAAGGCCATTTCTCCCTTCTTTCCTTTCCCTCCCCACCATTTCACATCTATTTCTAAATTTTTAGTAGGAGTTTCTTTCTTAAAGCCAAATGAGTTCTTTGATCCCGTTGCACACAAACCACTGTGCTAGTGGCAGCGATAGGTCTGCACGCTTGTCAGAGATAGCAACAGGAATATCTGAAGCCAGTGCAGCTCTGAGCTCTTTGTAATGCAGAACCGTTGCCTTAATTCCAATGACTGCAGCCTTAGTTTCTGAGCATTGAATGTTTTAACTGTGAAATGCGAGGGCCTCTCCCTAAATCAGAGCGTTAGGAGGAGTGTAGTTTAGGCTCAGCATTTCCTTTTCTAACTGTACATTCTCTGTTTTGCATGTATGTATCTTTGGGTTTCGTAAGGGGTTTATATAAATACAAGTAAAGCTTCTGGTGTTTTATTGAGAGGTGTTAATGGGAAAAAAAGAGTTCACAGCACACTCGTGTTAAATAAATGTTTTAAAGGAGAGGCTGGTTTCAATCAGTTCTTTAGCTTTGCAGCCTGTCTTGTGCCAGGCTGTGTATCAGAAACCCTTCAAGGGGGCAGCATTCCTAATCTTTGTTGATAATGGAGCAGCACTTGGTGATCTGACTCCATCAGCTCCTAAAATAATAGTCCATGATTTTTGAAGTGTGTTTTTCTTTGCTAAGGTGAAAGGTGAGGTCTGGCTTCCTGAGCACGTGAATTTACGTGTCAAAATGCGCCACAGCCTCTGGCTGCTTTAAGATGATTGTGTGACTTTGGGTAAACCCAAAGTTTCGCTCCTTTGGTAGGAGCGATACTGAAATCGAGTTGTAAGTTATATTTTCCTCCTGAGACTGCTGCTTCTGGCATTGCATAAAGCCATGTTAAGTAGCCAACCAAAAGATATCCATTGCCTCCCATTGCCCGTATCTTTGCCAGATCCCTTCTGGGGGTGCGTGGGGCTGCCAGCGTCGTCATAGGGCTGTACGCAGGAAGGGCAGAGAGAGGGCAGGCCAAATTCCCCAAATCCTAGCACTGGTGACAGTCACCTTGGCCCCACCAGTGGTTTGCAGATACCCTGCTCAGGCCGTCCCCGCAAAGACTTTTCCTTTCCCTGTGCGTTCTCCGGGCAGCAGTAACAAGGCTGATAGGCAGAGCGCTGAGAGTTGCTAAGATGATGATGATGATGATGATTCCTTTAGGGCACCTGCATGTGGTATTAAGGCACGTGCTCTGCTCAGTTGCTGGTTTAGATCTGGTGCGCCTCTGTGTTTTACAGTAGTTAGGGGAGTTAATGTGTGTAGGGTGGTGACTGAGGTAACACACTTGCTTGCCCCTGGAATCTTGTTTTTGCCCTAGGTTAAGAATACATTTGGGTGAGGACTGAAAAACCTGATCTGAATTAACCCCAAATTAAAGTTACTTTCCTTCACTCTAGCAGTGGCTAGTCTATGTCGGGAGGGGAACTGCAGCAGTTTTATCTATCGCATGCCCTACTGCAAGCAAGAGAGAAACCCAGGGGATTTTCTTGCCATTTTAGATCGCGATGGAAACGGGAGGAGCTCCCTCTAGAGAGGGAGCTAGAATAAGGTAAACAGATATGCTTGTTACCACAGTCTGAACTATATTGTTGAACTATTTTTCTATTACAGTCCACGATCTGCAGAGCTTCGGACTTGATAATGTAAGTGTTCCCAAGATAGTGTTCTGGTTCCCTTGGTCTGTTTTCCTTCTGGATTTCCCTCCCTTTGCCACACTGAGATCCTAATGTACTGATCCCGGCCGGATTTGGCTTTGTGAGTCTGAGCAGAACCTGGGACCTGCTTTCACACAGGGCTCTGAAGTATGTTCTGGGACATCTGCATGTTGCTTGGCAAGCCTGTTCCCCTCTTCCTGAGACTGCCTTGCTCCTTAATCTGTGCTTCCCAGTTTTCAAAGGTTGACATTTTCACAACTGCTTCTGGATCTGTTGGAGTTCACCTGGTGCTCGGAGGAAAGCAGATGATACCCATACCTATGCCGCCGAGGCAGCTGACAGCATGGTGCTCCTGTGGCAGGGGGGGGAGTGGGTGGGAGAGCCTGCTCTGTAGATGGGAGGGAAGGGCACCGGGGTCTGGGGGTTTCCAGCAGGAAAAGGAGGAATTCCGCATCTTGGAATCTCCCATGAATAAAAAAGAAGAGCAAGTGCTACTTGCTGTTAAGTGCTACTTACTGTTAGGGTAAGGGAGGTCCTGTCACAGTGTTCAGAGCCACACTCAGAAAAATATACAAATAATTAACTTTAGGCCCCTTACCTTGCCCCTCGGATGCTGTGCAGTTGTTTGAGTTATTAGCATTTCCGTTTCAGATCAATGTGACGCACTATATCAAACATCTCTCATTTGGAAGGGATTATCCAGGCATTGTGAACCCTCTGGATGGGACGGACATCACTGCACAGCAAGGTAAAAGCCAGCTGAGGGAAATCTCTTTTTGAGTGTCTGTATTAATGAGTGTTAGAAGAGAACAGGAGCGAAGTTCCCAGTCTTTAACAGGAACCCTGACAGCGTTGCGTAAAACGTGGAGTCCTCCACCTTGTGCTCTTTCTGGAACAGCTGCCTCCATTCATCTGGAACAACTCTGCCAACGTGTTTTGATTCTGCGACCTTTCTGAAAGATCTCTCTTTTCAGTGTTCATGGATGCACAACAGCAGGTACAGCACATCATTATTAAATGCCTGCATCAGGTGTAGTTCAGGGAGGGCCCTGTCTAGCTACTGCGCGCCGTAGGAGATAACCAGAAGATGCAGGATAGAGAAAAAAGGCCTAATTGATAGTTGCTGGAGAGCTGTGGTGTCTGCCTGACCTTCGTGTACCCAGCAGTAACAGCTGAACAGCTGCAGTGAAGTTGAAATATTGCTGATCTTTCCTAGATAGCTCCAGTCAGCTGCCTTGAGAAGGAAAGGCAATTCTCTCCTCATGCTACTGCTGCTCAAACTATAATCTTGGTTTATTCACACAAGCCTGCTTGTGTGCATTTTCCATGAAAGATCCTGACCGTACCACTTTATATGCCGCTGCAGAGATTAGTTATTTTTTTAGATCCGCTGAAGTCTGCAGAGTTTGTCTTTGCAGGTGCTTGGGGTGCTGTCATATAATAAAGCTTGGAGAAAGACGTTGTTTGCTTTAAGGTGGTGGTAGGATTGTTAGTCCTACCTGAATCCGTTCTTTTAAGTTTTCCACCGTCAGTTTTAATTCTTGCACCCAAAATCAAAGGATGGTGCTTAAAATAAAATACAGAAAAATGAAAAGGTGTCATAATGCTCGATACGATCGTGATGCCGTAGTTTTTCTGTGCAGTAACAAACTCTCTGAGAGGGGGCCTGTAGCTGGCTGGTAAAATTCTCTCTGTAGGCTGAAGCTTTCCATCCTGGGCCTCGGAGAACCAGTTGGCAAATTCTTGAGGAATTAGGGCTTGACACCACGTGCTCCGGAAAAGAAGTGGGAGAAGCAGACTGCAGGTCAGATTTATGTTTATTGCAGACCAGCTAAAGATACTGTATATGAGAATTCCTTCTTCTGTATGAATGGATGAATACTCTCCTCCTCTCGGGAATTTCATGGAAAATAGGTTTTCAAAGCGACTCCTGCCTTCCGTTATCCTTAAGAGAACAGAAGGAGCAGGCTGGTCTGAGGCAGCAGCAGGAGTTCTCCTCGTATTTGTTTCTTCAGCGATGCAGATCTTCCTCTTCATCTCCTGATGTGACAGAAACCATGTTTCTACAGGAATAGACTGTAGTGGTAATTGAAGTTGATATAGGATACTCATTTAGAGTTGAGTATGTTTTCTTAGGGCTATGCCGTTAAATATAAAGGTTTTCATGTGCTAGAATAAGAATTTTCAAGAAGTCGTACTGGTAAAACTATAGCAAGATAACTGGTTTGTAGAAAGTTTTCCATTTAGTCAAGGCTGAAATGCCGGTAGCTTTGGTTTTGGTTGGAACAGGAATGAGATTCACTTTGGCAAAAGGAAAACTTATGTCAGACATTAACTTGACTGTCCTTGAAAACCTCCAGTAGCTGTTGTGCAGAAAGATGTTCCCTGACAAGCTGAACAAAACCAATCTGCGTCTACCTAACCTGTCAGTCAAGCTTTCCAGCTCTTTGCCGGTTATTAATTGTGCCTCTCTGTCTTTGCTTATAGCTTCCATGATGTTTCAGTACTTTGTCAAAGTGGTCCCCACGGTGTATATGAAAGTAGATGGTGAAGTAAGTACCTTTTTTCCCCTATTGCTTTGGCAAGGGAAAGCCTTCAGGCTTTCTCCTCAATTCTGACGCTGACCATATCTGACCTCTGGTGGAAGCGACACAAGCTGTTTTGAGTTTTCTTCAGATAACCACCCCAGCAAGAATAACAGTATCGATGGTGTAACGTTATCCGTAATGTTGCAGCAGTGATGAAGCAGATTTCGGTCTCCTCCATCCCACCTAGATCAAAGTGACCATGCCGTTTTCATCGTGTTCCCTCAGGAGAAGTCAAAGCAGCAGGGAGATCCTAAAAATGTTCTTTGGAGGATAACCCAAGATCAGCTTGTCTCCGATTTAAAAACTCCTTTAGCCTCCAAAAGAGCGTGGCTAGATTTCCAGCCCTGCTTTCAGAATATGTCCTTCTTTTGGGACAGGTAGGATAAACAAATTACCGAGGAGATACCAGGGTGAGAGGAAGATCCTGAGAACAGAGACAAACTTATGCTCTCTTCTGAAGGCAGCCTGAGGGAGTTGAAAGAATTGTGATTTCTTTCATTCATTTGGAAGGGTTTATTTTGGTTGCCGTCATTCTGCAGGGGATCTCAAGAGCTACAGAGAACCTCTTTTTGAAAAACAACACAAACCAAACCAAACCTGTCAGTTATCATTACTTGGGCCCCCATAGTCTTAGGGCAGCAGAATGATGTAAGCTGTTGTGTTTCTTTTGCAAAGAGAACACCAGTAGAGGCAGCAGCTCTGCTGTTGTGCGGGCTTCACCACCAGTGCTACCCAGCGTACTTATCTAACCCTGTGAGGAAGAGACAGGTGCCACATGCCCCCAGTACCTCTGTGAACATTCACGTACAAGATGGCTTAGCCGTCTCCGAGGTTTTGGTTCTGCATCTTGTACGCTGCATGGGTGGTCCATGCCCAGTTTCACTTTGACACCAAACCAGCTTCCTCTGAGGTGAAACCCAAGTGTCGTTCTGGGGCTCGTTCAGTGCAAGGACTGATCTACGTGTGGATGAAACTACACCAGAATATGACTCCCTTGTCCTACGCAGTTTTATAACGCTGTGCAAACCCCACAATGCTGGGAACCCTTACCACCACCTCAGGCTCTTCACCCAAACTCGTGCCGCTCTCGGGCATGTACCACATATCCTTGCAATCAGAACAACATACTACTGCACATCCACACAACCTTCATGTTGCTTTAGGCACTCTGAAATGTCAATCACCGGCAGATTATTAGTTATGTCAGAGGCTGCATAGGAGCCACAAGTCTGGGGAGCCACGCGGCCCCAGTAGTAGGTACAATGCAGACATTCAAGCGAAGCTATCCTAGAGCAGTGTGGGCAGAGCAATCTAACAGAATCTGTTGGAAAGGTAGACGTAGTTGGTGTTTCTTCATCTGCCCTAAAGATTGAAACTGTTTGCAAGACTCGGTTCTCCTGTGATAAATCCTTATGTGGACCACTCTTTCTTCAATCCCCTGCCTAGAAAGGACCCGTCTGTTTTTTCCTGGAAGTTGGGTGGAAGTTACTTGCTATGAGGTGATATTGGGAGAACCTTCAGACCGTGTTTGAAGCTCATTCTGCTTGGATTCAGGATGCCTCTGCAGTTTCTGTGGATGATTGAAATTCCTGAAGTACAAAGGATAGTTAAGCGGAGCCCTATTCTTATGGCCGCCTCCCAGTATAGCATGGCTTCTGTTTCTCCTGATGAAATCTTGCATTCTGCTGTAGAGCTGTTGTTCAGTTTTCAAAGGACTTCTCCTGTCAAAAGAATTTCTTTTTATTAAGTCACCAGGAGAGGAATCCACGCAGACCGTGATGCTTATACGTATGGTAACTATGGATCCAAGTGCTGCCAGATGTATACCAGGGGCTGTGTTACCCAATCAGTACTTGGAACCTCCAAATGCGGAATTTGGTAGAGAAACTGGATAGTATGTTTCTCAGCCTGGATCGTAATTTGTGTCAGATAGCTTATTAGGGATGGTAGAACATAATTTCATTTTACAGAAACCCAATTTATTTGCTCTAAGAATAGGACTGGTACGAACAACATGGAGAAGAATGGCGGGGCGCAGAAGAATGCTGCAGGGTGATCTTCGTTTATATAGAGATGGGCATTCTGTGTCCTCCTGCAGCCCTGGCACTCTCCTGCCTTTGTGTATTATTTACTTTTTTTCTCATTCTTGAATATATATGGCTTTCTCACATCGGTGCTGTCTCCTGAAGCAGGCTTAGGTGGACTGCATTTTGGTAGAGGATGACGTGGACTTGGGGTTGAGGTCGAGAGGGACAGCTTATGCCATTACTTGCCAGCAGAGCCCAAAACAGTCCAGCCTGGAGACTGATGCACCACTCGTTCTTGGGGCTAGCTGGGGCTTTAACTGATAGCCTGTGGTAAAAATAGACTTGATCCTGATGGTGCTCTTTATGACCCTTTGTAACCACTGTCAGGCCCCCCACAAGTGAGTGGGCAGGGCTACGTTGATGTGGTTCACTGAACTCATGTTTTAGTAGCCTCTCCTATTCCTCGTTAACAAAACAACATTTGCTGTGTTTGTTTCCTGCTAGGTGGTAAGGACTAACCAGTTTTCAGTTACGCGACGTGAGAAAATAGCCAATGGGCTACTAGGAGACCAGGGTCTGCCTGGTGTATTTGTGCTATATGAACTTTTGCCCATGATGGTGAAGCTGACAGAGGAACACAGGTAGGAGACATTTCAATCTATTCCATTCACCCTCCACTGATTTTGTCATTCTGCATAGCTTAAAACTCCGTCCTCACTCAGACGTGACGGTACAAATGCCTGAAAGCCATCCAGGCCCCTTCCCAGTCAGTGGAGAGGAAGAGGCACTCCCAGATGCCCTTCCTCTCAGTGTGCACATCTGAAAGGGATTGGGGTTTTTCCGATACTACCTGAAGCGTTTTAATCCAGTATCGAGATGGAGAAGGAAGTTGGTGCAGCGAGCAGAAGTCTGATACAATGGTTTTCAGTTCAGACTAATTTCCTCAAAGTCCTTTTTTAATGGGAAGGCTGGATTTATATAGCATACCCATCTTACCAGCACCTACAGCAGCACCCGCCTTACCCAACCTGCATCTGCTATAGCTTTTCTGCATGTTGTCGTCAGCGTGGAACCTCTCTGCTCTTTCCGGGTCCTCTGTTAATCACGGGCATGTAATTGCAGGGGAATGGAAGGGGTTGTAGCTGTCCGATCTTTTAGGATCATAATGAGGGACAGCCAATGCCCACACCTTAAAATGTATTAACATGTGCTTAGGGATTTAGGTTTTGTGTTACAGCAGCCTGCTGTGCATTCTGTCTGGGTAGGAGTGGATAAAATCTTGGGGATTAAAAGACCATAAATTCAGTACTTGCCTCCTAGGGTTGCCTTTGAGCTCGTTGGAGCGCACTGCTCTGATGCTACTCAATAAAATCAGGTGACAAACTCCATTCCGTAGCCAGTAGGGGTTATTTAATTGTTAAATCTGTTGCCAGCTATTAATATTTGTATAATGCATACTTACATGTGCTATGATGAACATTATGATAATTATGAATTAGTTTTTATTAGTTAATTGTTACTTATCTGACATATTGGTATCTGAGCTCATGCCGGTTGTTCAAATTGCTTTCCTCATTCTAGGTCCTTTACGCACTTTCTCACGGGAGTTTGTGCCATCGTTGGAGGCATATTTACAGGTACTGGACCTTTCAGTCCTTTTTCTTTCTAAAGCATAAACATTTGACATCTTACTCTTTCTAAAGTCTGCATGGCTGGTAATAAATCCCTGTTTGATGGGGAGAGATGATTTCAGCCTTCAGGAGGGGATGTAGCATGTTCTACAGAGCCATGGGAGCGGCATCAGATTGTAATCAGCACTGCCGACTTTCAAGACGCTGTAGATGATGTAGACCTATTATAATATTTCAGCTGATGAAATACTTTGTTTCATTATGATGTAGACCTATCATAGTATTTCATTTTGATGCTCTGCAGGACGTTTTGTTTTCAAATAACGCGGTCTTTCACATACCATATGAATGCATCTGTACTGTTTTCTTGGCCAGCTTGGGTCTGTAAGCAGATAGTTGCTTTCACGTGGAACCAAAGCCAGTAAGATCTGTGAACCCAGGTCACCATGGGCATAGCCATCTCAGAGGGCTCAAGCTGTGTTCCCAGACATAGGAGCGCCAGTGAGTGCTCTGCAGGGACTAAAAGCAGCCCTCACAGCTAGACGGGGTCCCGTAAGGACAGGCTGTTCGGGCAGAGCCATTTGAATGTCTGGACTTCATTCTCAGTGCTGGCTTCTGGAATAGCTAATCAGCATCTGCTCAGCTCCATGCGTGTGACAGAGCCCAGCCTTGGTCCAGCCTTGCACTCCAGCTAATAACCCAGGGTGCTCTGAAACATAGGCAGAGATGCTCACGTGGCTGTGAAGGGCCAGCCCGGAGATCTGGTCAGCAGATCTTACTGGACCTGAGAAGCCAGCTACTATATCACGTAACACGTGTATCACATACCTATATCACATAATACCTTTATCTGCAAGGTTTTCCCGTCGCCTGAGGTGTCACAATGCTCAATTAACCTCATACTGTTAAACAGGATTTCTGTCTGTAATGAATTTGATCGTATTCATTTCTGTGGTTGACTCAGGGAAAGGCTTTCAAAACTTATTTTCATGACAAATGCAAGTGCCCTCTAGCACTGATTGGATTTGACAGCCAGTTCATAGTGTTTGCTGCCATATGCCATGTTCAAACTCTCTATATTCTAGAGGACGGACCAAATCAGCTGTGTAACAGTTTTTGTGTTACAGCATCAAATTGATTCCACAAGTAGAGATAATTTCAGGGTGAAACAATGACAAAAGACAGTCATCTGAAGCGTTACTCAAAGAACAGATAGTAAGGCCAATAATTCCATATTCTGCAGTTATAAACAGAAGACTCAGTTCCCGTTTTAGCTGCTACTCTTTATATTGACTGGCTGTCAAATCTAATCAGTGCTAGAGGGCACTTGCATTTGTCATGAAAATAAGTTTTGAAAGCCTTATATAGTAATGAAATGTCTGTCTTTGTGTAGGACCAAGTAATTGCTTACTCATTGCTTAGATTGAGGCATTGAAAATACTTTCACTCCCCGGCATCCTGTGTTCCCTCCATGGCAGGAGCCTCAGGGTTCCTGTCCTGTGAAAGCTGCCTCGATGGATGCAGGGTTGTCTGGATTTTGTGGTGCAGTAGACCCATTCTGAGCTTTGCTGCGGTCCCAAACAAGCACTGAATTAATAGGCTCCTTTAGTGCTGGAGACATTTGGGGAAAATACTGAAGAAAGAACTAAAGGCATCGGTTTGTTTTGCTTTGTGTCCTTGGTGGGTAAACATTGCAGTCTCCGATAAAGGGCATCCTTAAAGGGCAGCATCAGGCAGAGTAGCTTACTTTTAAGGTTACTGTGAAATGAGCAAGAAATGGGAAGGATGCCCTTGGCAAGCTGGGTCAGGACAATGACATGGCATAAAGCTCTCAGCATCAGCTTCCTCTCCAGACTCTTCTCACTCATCAGTAAACACATGTGACTCAGCCTGTCTCATTTTTACTTCTGTAAGAGAGATCTTTTTCTGGAGAAGCATGATCACCTCTGCCCTGCAAGCTGGATCTTGTCTGTCCTCATGAAATTAGTACCTTATTCTTCTGAGCAGCAGCAGCTGTTTTCTGTCTGGGCGAGCTGGAATTCCTTTCCACTGATGAAAGGGTTTGTGTTTTCTTTCCCTGGGAGTTGTTCTCTCTTTGAGGCATGTCTGGCTTGATCCATCTGTTTTTTCCTTTTAGTTGCAGGATTCATTGACTCCTTGATCTATCACTCAGCACGTGCCATCCAGAAGAAAATTGAACTTGGGAAGACAACGTAAATAAGCAACGACCTCACCCCACAAAAAAACTCTTAAGGAGAACTAAAAAGGTCTTTTGAAACACAAGTGATCTTCGAGTGCACAAGAGAAGAGGTTTGGAATTACCAGATGGCCCTGACTGCTCTTAAGTTACTGTCCCATCATTCTTTGTTTGGCATTAATTTGTGAACCTTGCTGCTATGAAGATTAGCCATCTTGTCTGGCTGTGCAGACCCTACTGTAAAAACCCTTTTGTGTCAGTCCATGTTCATCCAGTTCCGCCCCGTCCCCCCCGCCCCCATCC